AAGATGGCCGACGGCATCCTGGCCTGCATTAGAAATAGTGTGGCCAGCAGGAGCAGGGAGGTGATCACCCCCTGTACTCAGCACTGGTGAGGCTGCACCTCAAATGCTGTGTTCAGTTTTGGGCCCCTCACTACAGGAAAGACATTGAGGCCCTGGAGCGTGTGCAGAGAAGGGCAAGGAAACTGGTGAGGGGTCTGGAGCACAAGTCTTAAGAGGAGCGGCTGAGGGAGCTGGGATTGTTTGGTCTGGAGAAGAGGAGGCTCAGGGGAGACCTCACTGCACTCTACAGCTTCCTGAAGGAGGCTGTGATGAGGAGGGGTTTGGCCTCTTCTCCCAGGCAACAAACAGGACTCGAGGAAATGGCCACAAGTTGTACCAGAGGAGGTTTAGGTTGGACATAAGGAAGAACTTTTTCTCTGAGAGAGTGGTCAGGCATGGAATGGCTGCACAGGAGGTAGTGGAGACGCCATCCCTGGCAGTGTTCAAGAGGCATCTACAAGATACAACTTAGTAGTTTGTGGTAGCAATGGTAGTGGGAGAATGGTTGAACTAGATCTTGTAGGTTCTTTCCAACCTTGTGATTCTATGATTCTCAATGCAAAAGATGCGAACAGGAAAATACCATGAATATCATGGAAGTGGAAATTTAGAAAACAAAAAACAAAAAAGCACCATACAGCAGAGACAACTACAAAGTCTCACACAAGACGAACAGTCAAATGAAATGAAATTCTAGATCTACACAAAAACCTACAGGTAGTCAAACAATCAATACTACTGTTCAAAGGCAACCACCATAACAGCAGCTCCTACAGACAGAGTGAAGCTAATTACGCAACATTTACAGTATTCTTATCATAAAACATACTCAATATCCCAAATAATATCTGAATATTTACCATACTAAATATTCATCCTCCCCAGACAGCGAAGATCAAACTGAACAACGCACTGCTATGAATACCTTTATTTCTTTTCTACCTTAAGGTAGATAGCCTTGCTCAACCTTTGTACTTTCTACACACCAGAATTATAGGACAAGCCAAGCATCTTCAGCACCCAAATTAAGGGCTCTCCTAAATCTACAAAAATAACAACAAAACACTCCGTATCTCAAATGTTTTATGGACCTGATCATGCTAGAGTAAGTTCTACAAGCCAGCAGACAGTGATAACAGACAGAAAACTGTTAGTTTTGTTGTATTAGTCTACATCCATCTCTTGTGCCTGAATAAGCCTTGTTGTTGTGATTTTCAAAGTATTAAAAAAAAAAAAAAAAAGAAAGAGAGAGAAATACAGCCTGAAAGCTTGTGTAAAAGAATGATAACTAGACATCTCAACTAATTACTGTGAACTGATTTTGTAAGTCCTCAGAGCTGCTAGACAAAAAAAAATTATGCTAAAGAGCCAAACACTGAAAAAAGCAAAGCGGAATGTTGGGAAGAAAACAAACCCAGTTTCCAGAAATGCAAACAACACAGACCTACCACCACTACCTGAAATCATGACTGCTGCTGTATACTGAAATCTACTTTTCTAAATTTGGTTGTTGGCTTCATTTTTTTTTCCCTTAACTTTTATAAAAGCTACAGCAAAGAAAAAAAAAACAAAGTGTAGACCAAAACACTTGTTTTGTATCAACATACACGAACATCATCTGCAGAGTTTTGTATCAACATACACGAACACCAACTGCAAAGGAAGCCTTTTATGCATCCAAGCTGGCCAGGCTCTCTGGGACAGATCACAGCCAGGATTGCAAGTGCAGCTGACTCAGGATCAGTAGGAGAACTGATTTCCACTTTGGGCTACAAGAAGCCCAGGCACACAACAACAATCTTTGTCACTCCTGGAGCATCATGCACTCTGCATTCTTAAGACAGGACACAGCATCAGCAGCCAGTGATCGTGTGGTTCTGCAGACAACTGGAAACCATTACTGCAGTCTCATTTGACACAGTCACCTGCAAAACTGAGGTGTAAGAGACTGGAAACAGGACAATACTTGATTACAATACTTTATTTTTTTTTTTTTATTATTTAAATTATGGGTTAGACTATCTGAATATCTGCTCAATAACTAGCAAAACGGTACTACCCTGATTAGGCCTCTGGACAGCACAGCAATGTAAGTATTACCAATGAACAAATGAAACTATATATAACCCCTCATAGATTGACAAGAACTGGCATCCAAAGAAACCAAGGACTGTTGATATTAGGGTTCACATTAGGATATAGAATGTATTAACATGAAATCATATAATGTCCTCTAAGTTTTTCCTGCAGAAAGCATGTATATTTAATTAAGTCCCTACAATTACACAAGAATCTGCTTTTACATCTTTTCTAAGTACACCAACCTTATAGAGTAAAGGTCAGATTTTTCAGTTTAAATGTAAGGCTACTTAAAATGTTCATGCTGAGATTAATTCCGAACTTGGACTAACATTTAAAGAGACTTCATTAAAACTTTGCCTGGGAAAAGATAAGTGATGCTAATATACCTAGAACACTCAGCAAGAAATTAAACTGTTTACTCAGAATGAGCAGCAGACTGTTCTGCTACACAGGAACTACTTCAAAGCCTGGGCACGTTCACGGAGGATTTTGTCTTTTATTGAGTTTCTAGATCAGATAACAACTGAAACTTTTACTACTACTTATGAAATTCCCTCAAGATCAGCGAGCTTACAGTGTTTCACACTTCAATCAGATGCTGACAATAAAGAACTGTTGCTCACTGTGCATATAGTTAGCAATGAAACTACCTGAAGTATATATGTACCCATACACTCAGTCAAAAACAAAGTTGTTTTTTTTTTTTTAATTAGTCTTCCAATCCATCTCACACTTAAAAATGCCAGAGAAGCAGCCTCAGCAACAGGCCTAAGGCCCTAGAATCTCGTAATGAGTTTCCACCAGATATAAGCCTAGGCCTACACCAAGGCCACTGCTAGACAAAACTCCAGCTCTGCACACTGTTTGGGGGTTTAAAATTAATATTTTCACAGTTTAGAGAGACTAATACCCTTATATTAAAAATATGCCCAGTTGTTTGCAGAACCACAAAGTTCCATCCTTCTTTAAGTTGGTAACTTTTCTTTAGAAAACTGGAGGTTCCCATGTGCTTTTTATACAGAATACATTGAGATGATAGTCAGTTCAACTTTTAAGTGACTGGTCATGTAACAGACACCAAATAATTATTTGGTAAACGCTGGGATAAACAAAGATAAGGGCAGTACGTGTTCTCAGTAAAAATGTTTAGTTTACCAATAAATTTCTAAAACAAACAAGATGTTTCCTGGACCTCCTTCAAAACACTGTTTCAGTGAAAAGGCAATCCCAAATGCTCAGCAGGAAGAAAAAGAAACTGCTTGCAGTCTCTGGCTCACACATTTTGGGCATGACCTCATTCTTTACTACCACTTTTCATTTCTGCTGCAGCATTTTATAAACCAAGGCTTGACGTTATTCTTGCACATTATGATTAAATATTACATACCAAATGCATATGAATGCAGCTTAAAGTTATAATAGAAATGAAAAAGCATCAAAGTGTATCCCTTATAACTCCTCACACAGTAAGAACTTATTTGGCGTGCACAAGGCACCATCATATATATATTAGCCTCCAAACATAAAAATAGGTATGCCAAGATTTATTTAACCAGAATTTCTGCAAGTTTGCTATACAACAGTGACATACAACTATCTCCCCAAATTTAACTAGAAAAGCCAAATTTCCTTTTCAAAAATTGCAGGTTTGGATCATAACTTACAGGGAGCTGTTAAGTTATCCATACTCTACTTATCGAAGCCCCATTATTAAAGCAATCTCATATCCCACTTTACTTACAAGGAAGCACTTACATGCTTATATCCCAAATGCCTTGAAATGGTTCTAACAATAAGCTCACACTGGAAATTCAGCAATTTCTTGAAATATCAAATATTCAGTTTAACGTTGCCTTTTTTCTCTTCCCTATTTGATCATATCAATCAAGCTTAAACAATAATTATGTATCAGTCCATTGAAACTAAACAGTTACCACTTCCAATACAACCGTCATCAGTGCACCGCTGGTAACAGTTCTGTTTAGTACCAGGTACTTAAATAAGCACTCAGCCTTCTGTACCAACCTGTTTCCAACCTCTGCAGTTAAGAAAGCTAAGGTACACAGGCTGAATTAAGCAAACATCCCAACAATTGCTCAAAACAAGATATGAGAATTATATGCTTGGCAAATAACTTTAAAAACTCTCTGACGTTAACCTTTTAACCCGATCTATTCATACCATCAGGCTTTCCTGAAAGATAGTTTTACACACCCGTTTTTGCTTTTTTAATTAATTTTTTGCTGACCACCACGGAATAGCGTATTTTAAGAAAGTGGCCAACATTCACCCACCGTAGCAGTAACTGTTTTATCAACGAAGAACAAATACCACAGGTAACGAGGCCTCGTCAGATTTAGAATAAAAAGGAAAAAAGAGGAATAATAAAAGAAAGCTCTACCCAAGCACCGTTCTAGGAAGCGTTCAGCGTTTCGGTTTATCGGAGGCCGAACCGCTCCTAAACTGATTGTGGCATACGAGGAGGAAAACGTTTAGGCGAAAGATTCCACCTCCCCCAGGCTCGGCCTCCAGCGGCTCGGCAGCTCGAGGCACGGCGCGGAGCGGCTAGGCCCCGCCGCGCCGGGCAGGATGCGCGGCCGGCAGCGGCAGTTCGTCACGTCCCGCCCGGCCCCGCGCGCCCGGCGGCTCCTCGGAAGGCCCCGAGGGGCCGAGCCTCCCCAGGCCGCGGGCGGAGAGGAGGGAAAGGAGCCGCGGAGCGGGGCGGGCTCCGCCGTTATGGCCGCCCCGGCGCCCGGGAGGCCCGAGCCGGGCGGAGGCGGAAGGCGGCACGGGGTTACGGCCCAGTCCGCGGGGAGCGGGAGCGCGGCGCGGGGCGAGGACTGCCGGAGAAGGGCAGCGGAGAGGGCGGCCGCACTTACTCTCGTTTAACACCTCCAGCAGCTCGGCGCAGCTCTCACACATTGTTCATTAACAGCAGCAGCCGCCGCCACCGCCTCCTCCCAACCATTGATTGATCCGCGCGGGGCCGCCGATCGGTGATTGATGGGGGCCGGGGCGGGGGTCAGCGGATGGGGGGGGGGGATGGGGGGAGGGGAGAGAAGGAGGGGCGGGAGGGCGGGGGCCGGTCCGGGGCGGGGGGGATGGGGCGGCCGAGCGATGCCAATAAGCCCGCGGCGGCGGCGGGAGGGGAAGCCGAGTCACTCACTGGCTGCCGGCGGCTCCGCGCGCCGCCATTTTGGCGAGGGGGAAGGAGGAGGAGGGAACGGCAGCGAGGGAGACGGAGCGCTCGGGCTCCGCTCGGCGGTTTCCGACGAGACGAGAGTCGAAGGCGGCCGAGTCCCTCCTCCTTTTCGCCCCGCCTTTCTCAGCCCGGGCCGGGCGGCAGGCCGGCGAGCGGGGAGGGAGAAGGGGGCGGGCCGGCAGCGGGGCCTGGAGGGCAAGATGGCGGCTAAGGCGGCGCGCTGACGGGTGAGGCGCGAAGCGGCAGTCGCGGCCCCAGTCCCGCCCCCCGCCGGGAAGGACCTCCCCGGTGCCGCGCGGGGCGGGAGGGCCACTCCCGCTATAAGCGAGCGCGGCGCGCGCTTTGCGCTCCCCGGCGCTCCTCTGAGAGTTAGGAGCAAGTTCGGCGTGCTGCCGGTTCCCTACTCGCCGTCCCCAGGACGCGTCCCCGCCTGTCGGCAAACGGCGCCTACTCGTGCAGCGGCGCTGCGGGGACGGCCGGCCGCAGTGAGCGCCCGTCAGGCCACGCGCGAAGCCTGCCCGCTTCCGGGGCTCGCGCCTCGCGTTTGATTGGCGCTTTCCTTCTGCGTAAGTCCGGGATCGGTCTTCGTTTGCTTGTTTTTCCTAGCGCTATCGGTATTGAAGTTCTTGAAATTCAAAGCCGAAAAGCGTGGTAGGCGTCTTCGGCGTGGTTGTCGTACTTAACTAACGCGAGCACCGTTACTGCAATAAATTGGTTTGCTTCCTTCCTCGACCTTTACCATCATTTTGCACAGGTATTCCTTCTAGTGAGGAGCGATCGGTGGCCGGACAACCTGAGTGTGTCAGCTGCGTTTGCAAAAAGAGAGCGTTGTTAACAGAAAATACAGTTCCATTCTGCGCATAATCAGAGTTGAGCTTGTGTTTGTTTCTCTTTGCCCTCTTCCTTACTTAGACCCGGCAGTCCCTTTGATCGTAAATCCAAAATTAACTGCCAGGGCATCAGAAGTTTACTTTTCTGACAAATCGGCTCTTACAAGAGGGGGTCTTTTGAATCACAACATCGCGTGCTAAGGTCAATATATACGAGAGGAATATGAGTGACCTTGTTCCTAACTGTGCAGACTAGAATATTTTGAAGTGCATTTTATGACACGCAATCTTATTTTTGTTAAAGAAAAATGACATTACAGTTTTAAAATGGAATGCAAGCTTCCAAACAGAAGGCAGCAGGACCTATAAGTGGCCTACAGTTTTCATGATAGTGATCATCAGCTAGTCTTTCTTCTATCCACTGCTTGTCTTCTCTTGTCTTCTCTCCTCATGTGGCATCACTGCAATGTGGTTTGATCCCCAGGAGGCCCTTTTCCTTCCCCTGACTGTGATACTGCTTTTAATCAGGAGATGCTTTCTTTGGTAAGCTGACAGTACAGTTGTGAAGTAGTAATTGAAGAGAAACGTGAGACTTGAGCAAAAGTAAAACGCTGTATCCAAATGTTGTACAAGGTGAATAGTCTGAGATCCATACGTACACTTACAGTGTCAGCGTCCCAAGACCAAACGAGTAACCCAGTCCTAGCAATTTTTTTTATTTTTTAATTTATTTTTTAGGTTTTAAAGTAAATGAACCATTCACCAGAAGAAAAAAAAAACCCTGGTGTGGATTAGGGGTCAGGTCATTTTTCTAAACCTTTAAACAGCCTGAGGATTGTACCCAGCCTAAATCTGAGATCATCTCTCTTACAGTATTTTTCAATTTTCATTTTGATTATTTCAGACTATAAAGCACTTTTCACATAATTGATATCCCTTTGATTCAAAAGCAAGCAGAACTTTTGGACTCTTCATGGGTAGAGAATGTATTTATGACTGTTTTTGTAGAAGTTTGCTGCAATGATTGCAGTTGCACACAGTTAATCCAAAAAGCAAAATGCTCACAGGCTCTCTCTGGGGAGAGAAGTTAATAGAATAAGACTGATGCAAAACAAACAACAACAACAAAAAAACAGAAAAACCCAAACACCTCACACTAGATCTAATGCTAGATTCCAAACAAGAAAATTGATCATTACTATCTTGTTATCAACAGTCATGTCAAAGTAACAGCTGTGGTAAGCAGGCTGCAGACAGTTCTTTCCATCACACACAGATGTAGTCACACTGAGATAAAACAATTTTAACTCCTCTCCCTCATCTCCAGTTGTTCCCAATAATCTTTACATGAAGGAACCCCCCAAAGGCTGCAGATTTGCCAAGAAGAAAAACTGAGACAGTTCACGATAGAAATATAAGCCCTTTTACAAACTTTGATTGGGTATCTGGAAAAGTGCTTTTTAGCCCACTAGAAGTGTAAATATGAGTGCTTTGATCTTTTTAACTTATGGCATATTCTGATCCATTCTGATGTAACTCATCTATATTCTAATCTTTGAAAACATCCCTTCTTAGTCCTATCTTTGTTTTTTAAACTGTTTTCTTGTTCCCACTGAACAGCATGAACGAACACAGGTAGACACGCGTATGAAAATGAAAAGCACACAGGGCAAGTACATACCTGCAGTAGCATTTGTTTCATTGCATAGTTATAGTTCTAATTTAGACAAGCTAAGTGTCTTGAGGAGACTGCTGGCAGACTGAGTAACTACACTCAGCTTTAAAAACAAACAAAAAGATAAAAACCAAAACCATAGTTCTGCAAAGCTGTTGTAGTTGATAAATGCAGCCAGTCTCTTTCAGTATGCTAACATGCTCCATCAGGCAGTTCAAATGTATAAATACTCCAAGTAGGGAAGCCGGAGTCCCAACGCCACGCTGAGTTCCCAACTGTTCACCATTGTTCTAACAGGAATAGTAGTAGAAAAGGTCTTCTCCCATTCAGCCCTTGGTGTCAAAATTTAAGTTGAAGCAGTATCAGTTATTTTCCCTAGGGACATGTCATGTTTGTTTTTGAATTTACCTGTGAACGTGCAAATTATCACAAAAAATGTGCAATAAAGCGTAGTTGTAGAAGCTACAAAAGTTATCTGGTATTTCCTTACATAGTATTTGTACTACTAGAAACACAAGCACTCACTGTATTTTCAGTTTTTTAGTACTAAGTGGATCTTTTCTCCCCGTACTCAAGAAATGATTCTTGATTTCAGTGCATTTAGTAATTAAGGTGCATTTTATGTAAAATTTGGGAAGTGATTGGCTAAGCTTTTTTCCGAGAGAACGTTGCTGATCAGTCAACTTCAGCAATGACATCCTGGATGTGAAAGGCTAAACAGAAATACAGTCCCATTAAATCACGTACAGAGGTGTATTCATGAAGGGCAGGAAGGAGAGGTATGTTCTTATACTCAATTTTGTAACCAAAATGGTTTTTAAAAACAATCTCTCAACAGTGGGGTTTTGCCCTATTACATTTGGAGACACACCTAACATGGGAAGAAGAGAACAAAAATTATCTAGGCACCAATATGAGCAAGAAAATAGTGCCCCGCAAGTTTTGGGTGAATAATAATTTATCTGGAGGCACAATCTCAGAGGCACAGTTCAACACTAAAGCAACTTCCTTGCTTCAGTCAACCTCTCTACATTTTAGTGCTGTGATAGTTGCAGTATCTTTTCCTAATGCCGCTCCCCTTCATCCAAAGAAATCCACAGCCAAAGTTTTATTCCTTTCCAGTGCTGAAGTCTACTGGAAATAACTTCAAGCTCCCTTGAGAGATGAACATTATTCTAAAGCTTTTTGCATAAATATTAACTTTATTGGAAAATAGTTCACTTAACCAATCAGATTAACACACAGCAAATTATTCAAGTTAGAAAAAGAAAACTAACCTAAAATGCTTTGGAAAATAATTGCTCCAGTTACAGTAGCAAACACATGGTAGCCTGAAACAAGCACTTGGGGGTGTCTTCATCAGCTAACAGGCAATCAAATCATGTAAACACAGAAAACACCCTGTAATATTTCTGTTAACGAATGTACCTAGAGTATATAGAATTTTTTCTTTTAAAATCTGTATAGAAATATGCACAAAGTAAACATTGGTTTACATATAATTACAAGTTGTAGTTGCTTTTATGATGGGTTCATGCTTTTTATCCATTTATTTTCATTTCCAGAGTGTGCATTCAACACAGTATCTACAACCTTCTCAGGTGTACATTGTAATAATTTTTCGACAGAGGATAACTGCACTAGGAATAGACACACCCTTCCCCCCAAATTTTATCAAGAACTCTGCATATGCTGCATTTTCATAGCATCTGCAGAGATCAGCAAAAGGCACCAATTTTGAAGATAACACAGCTTTTTGTCAGATTTAAAAGGGAAGTGAAAACTAACATCACCATTTTGTTACTAGATAATCCAAAAGGTTTCAAAATAATGAAAAACTCTTATCCAAATTGCATTTTTAAACACACTTCAGGTGTTCTTTGAAAGTCAGATGTAATTCTTAAGTACGCATCAGACCACAAGCCTTGCACGTTTACTTCAACCTTGAAAATGAAAGGTGCACATAAAAGCACACGTGCGTTTTTCATTGAAACAATTTTCACTGCATGTCTGAACTAGTCTAGTTCTGTGATTCGTGGAATATGGTCATTCTCATGTCGCACTATTGGGGGTATTTCCATTTTAATAGTTTTCTTCCTGGTCTCCACAGCTTTTGATCATCTGCAGCTCTATAATGCTGTGACTAAGCCTGGTCACAAGCCATTTTAGTATCCTTCAACAGTACTTCAAAACACTTTAAACTGCTTCTTATGTTACATATTGCTTTACAAGAACAAAAATCTATAACTCAACTGGACAGAAAGACATGAAAAAGCTTGAAGCGTGAGTTTGAGAAACAAATGAAA